ACTAACCAAGTAGAGCGTCGAATATCGTCATCATCATCATCATCATCATCATCATCATCATCATCGTCATCGTCATCGTCATCACAACATCTGGGTTTCACCAGGATGAGAGGAACGAGTCCACACTGCCAGTCGTTTGCGATGAAGACAACGTCTTGACCGAAGGGCGCGATGGTGGGGAGACAGAGAGGAGCCTAAACGACGATGAGCAGAACCAGGAATGAGGAAGGAGGAGAGGAGGAGGAGGAGGAGGACCTGGGGAGCAGGTGGAAGAGAGCAGGAGCAGGAGCAGGAGCAGGAGCAGGAGCAGGAGCAGGAGCAGGAGCAGGAGCAGGAGCAGGAAGTGTATTCGTTCACCTCCAATGAAGCCCATGCAAAGAGAGCGAAGCGGAACAAGTTGTCCTCGTAGTCTTTACCCCACTCACCGTACATGCCAGGTCTGACCGAATGAAGAGAAACAAGAGAAGAATGGCGTCAGCTTCGTGGTAGAGGAGAGCGTGTGTATGGGCGAAGGAAGGAGGGAGGAAGGAGAAGGCGAGAAGGGAGAGGCAGGGAGAGAGAGAGATAGGGAGAGAAGGTACCTGTGGAAGCAAGGATGATCGACGAAGATCTGATCCACCCCTGCCTCCATGCTTGAGTTGTGGGGGTCAGGGCCATGAGGGTCCCACTTGTGCCAGTACTGGAAAAGAGAGACAGCAAGTCAGCATCTTGTATTAGACAGATCTGAACAGGTTTCTTGTTTCCACATGTTTGTCTGTCGACACAGGAAGATCTACTCGTGTTGTCATGATCAGGATGTTGGTACGACAACTTAACGTTATCAGACAGCTGTTATCAGACAGCTCAACATGTAACTGTTGCTACGGCAGGCGTCTTGCGCGCTTGGGGGGCATGATGGGACTTCTGGTCAACTCACCTCAACTGTGTGTCCTCCTCCCATTATTCCGAAGCCTCTCCGCACCCCAGTACCGATCACGCCCTGCGAAGGCAAAGTCAGCGGAAGGAGTCAGCTGAGAGGAGGAGGGAGAGGGGGGAGGGGGAGGAAGAGGAAGGGGAGGGGAAGAAGAGAGGAGGGGGTTCGGGCTAGGAGGGAGAGAAGGGAAGAGCGCAGGGAGGGATGGACAGAGAGGAGGGAGGGGAAGGAAGAGGAGGGAAAGAGCAGGGGGAGAAGGGAGGAATGGAGGGAGAGGAGGAGAGAGAGGGGAGGGAAGGAATTCTTTCACCTCATAATATCCATACATGGGCATCACTGTCATGACTCGATGACCTCGCTGCTGCAGCATCAGAGCAGCAGACTTGACTCGTGTGATGTTGTTGGAAGGAGGAGGAACACCAGAATGGGGGATGACGATGAGGAAGGCATAGACAAGGAAGAGGGGGAAAGGAAGAGGTGGATATGCAGGAGGAGGACGAGATGGTGTTGAAGCAGCAGCGGCAGCGGCAGCGGCAGCAGCAGATGCAGAAGCGGCGGCTGCGGCGGCAGCACCTTGGCGAGGGCGATGGAGAGTTTGTCTGCAACATCTGCGAGTCCTCCACTCTTGGCGTATCTGCAAACCTTGTTCAGCTATCGGGCAGAAGCCAGCGAGACGAGCTGAAGGCAGACAGCAGACAAACAAGGTAGGCAGGATGAGGGAGGGAGGGAGGGAGGAAGGAAGGGAGGAAGGGAGGAGTGATCTCGATCACTTGAGGTCACTGACCTCGCTAACTCCGAGGAGACCATGACGATGTTGAGACGCTTGAAAGGCTCCCCGGCTCTCCACCCTACAAGCTCACAAGTGAGAGATGTACGCTTTGTTGAGGAGGGAGCACAAAACCATTTCTGTTCAAGAAGAGGAGGAAGACGAGTAGAGGAAGAAGAACGGGGAACGAGAAGGAGGACGAGGAGGACGAGGAGGAGGAGGAGGAGGACACAGAGAAGAACAAGAAGAAAGGGAACAAGAACAACGAGAGGTCGTTCAAGCTCTCTCAACATCCACATCTGATATCGAGCATCACAAACCTCTTGAGCAGCCTCCACGGCGTCAAGCGCAGCCTTCACCCTATCCTCGACATCTGCTACTCCCTGCTCCAGGTCGATGTTGGTCACCTTCTCCCGATCCAGCTCAGTAACTCCTTGCCTGTTGAGCTTTTGCCTGCTCCTTCGCAAGCTTTGCGAAAGCGTTCTCCTTTGCATTCTGCCTCTCAGCATTCGAGTCTTTCTCCGGCTCTTGCTGCTCCGCATTGTACTGCATGAGCCAATGAGCTTTCAAACGTACAACAAACAAACGCGCTTCCATCTCTCGTCACTTCACCTTGTACTCTTCCTGTTGCTGAGCATTGTCGTCGGTGTAGTTTGCAACACCAGGTTCGGTGATCTGCGTCTGATCCAGCACGCTGACACGGAGCAAGTCAAAGTTCGTCCTCCTCGCAGTCAGCTTGAACCTGTAGCTGGTAGACCGTACCATCCACTCAACCATCTGCTCCTTGGAAACAACTGAAGCCTCGCTCAGGGTCTCCCAGAATGCTGCTGCGAGGATAATGAAACAATGAATCCTCACCGGAAGCATTCGCATCGCCATCCTCGGGTAGGTGTGTAGTGTGTTCGCCTTCGTGGTTCTACGAAATACCCCACGTCATGATAGGCAGCCGGGTCGGTCCCTACCCCCTCCCCATCCGCGAGGAATCTCAAGTCAACCTCAGTTGGCTTCGATCCGATGCCGAAGAATCCGCCTCGCAGCCGTAGAGGAGAGACCCTCGCATGGCGGATCCGCAGCGATCCGACTGCGTTGACTTCAATTTCGTGCACTTTCAACGAGACGCCCTCCTACCGGGAGATGAAAGAGCAGCTGAAGCGTGCAGCTGTTCGGTCATGAGGAGGACCAGACACTGGGCGAGGAGGAGGAGGGGGGAGGAGGAAGCACTCGAACGACCCTTCAGACGCACTGTCGGCATCGCGCCCTTGCTGTCGGACATTGATGCGCTAATCAGTCTAACAGGGGTAGGGTGGTAGAAGTGGAAATTTAGTGGGTGGTGGTAGTATGTATGGATTTCTGAAGGGGTGGGTACTTCAAATTTGAGGTTTGAGCGTGGTGGGGTATAAATATACCCCTATATTGGGATGCAAACTGACGAAAATAGACGGGTAATGATCAAGCATTGGTGATTTGATCGAGAGGGTAGTGAAAACTTGGGGGTGAGGGGTACAGAAGGTAGGGATGTTTTGAGTGACTGAGCGAAGGGTCCGGGGGACAGTCAAAAGGTAGGGTGATAATGGGATGAAGGTGGGGTCATCAAATGTGGGGTGGAGGTCCAGGATTTGAAGAGGGTAGGGTGGTGCCTTGTTGTGACCCACCTTTTAACCACCCCCTTTACCCATCACCCCCACCAGCATCTTTCCAACTTTTCATAGGGAAAGTACACTGGGGGGTACCTACCCTATGGGAAACAGGGGTCCCTTATAAGATCCAGACCCGCGGGCGGGAATGTAGGGAACGGAAACGAGACTATCGGACTCCGGTCCGAGTCAGACTACTGAGATTCCCGGAGTCCGGCCCGGCCGGTCGATCCGTGATCGGCCCCGGGCCGCACCGTTGAAACCTGCCAGGCTCGAACCGAACAGCCGCTCACTCAGTGACTGGCAGTGGGCCACGGCGGCGACAGTCCGACGGTCCAATGACGGAGCACAAGTTTATTAGACTTGTACTATGCCAAAGACCAGAGTCGACCTTACTAAATTAGTTGTAACTTACTTGACAGTTTTTGCTCAAGACCGAGTTTAATGCACACGAAACCAGAATTGAGGAGCATATGAGAGATAGACTGTTTGCTAGGATCATCCGGGCGCGGGGGGCCGATCGTCCTAGGCTCAGTACAACGGGGGACAGACGCCATTTTTACTCCTAAAGTTAGGTCAAAAATCATCATCCTGCTACTTAACTCAGTGCAATTAAAAATCAGTACGAAGACAATCAGCCGGGCCCCGGGCCCGGTGCCAGGGCCGGGTGTCACTGCACAGCGGCACGGCCGGGCCGGCCGACGCGACGGACGCAGGCGCGACGGCCCGGGCCGGCCGGGACGTCGGACCGTCTGGACGCGACGGAGCTGGCGACGGAGTGTGGCCGGATGGTCATAGGAGGGCTGAGGGCAAGAACCGTTGAGCGAGTGTTGGGCACAATGGCGAGATGGCGAGATGGCAGGGCGAGCGAGCGAGCGAGCGAGCAAGAGCAGGAGGAGGAGGAGGAGGAGGAGGATGGAGATGATGATAGAGATGATGATGGCGACGGAGTGGAAGGGGAATTAGAAGGAAGGAGTAGTGGCAATGTGCGTGCAAGACGGAGTTGTTTATGAGTTTTCATGATTCTCCTCCTCAATACGATTCACTTCAATCTTTCATTCTGTGGTCAGAGTGATATGCAACGAACAACACAATGTTATCCAAGGGAGGCAACAAGAAGCAAGTCTGGTGGAGAGATGTATCCTTACTTTATTGTGCATTTGGACGCCTCAAACGTACACATAGAGCACCGTCTTCACGTTCATGTTCGTGTTGATATTCATGTTTCTCACCTGGCTCCTGCAGGCATATTCAAATAAAGAGGAGCGGGACGTGGAGGAGGAGGGACGGAGCTTCAACCATCAACATGGCAAGATTCTCAAGGGACGACGTGTCTGTGCACAGCTCGGCCCCTTCACAAAGTGCAAAGAGCGTCCACTCGAGCAGGAAAATGAGCGCGAGCGGGGAGAGGAGGAGCGGGAGCGGCAAGTACGAGTTTGTGAGGTGAGCAGACGGTGGCGGCTGCTGAAGGTCTTGACAAGTCGGTTGTGTTCTCGGTTGCAGGATGCTGTACAGGGGGATAGATCATGGCGTCACGGCCAGGTGATGATGGAGGAGGAGAAGAATGAGTGAATGGAGATGGAGATGATGATGATGATGGAGATGATGATGATGGAGATGATGATGATGGAGATGATGATGATGGAGATGATGGAGGAGGAGGAGGAGGAG